CGCTTGCTCCGCGCGCGCCGTGCCCGGGCCAGCGGGGCCGAACGTGGCCGCTGCCGGGGACCCGCAGGAGGTGCCGACGGGTTTAGGCGTTGCCTGTTGCAGGCTCACACGGCTCAGACCTGAAAAAACGTGCGAGGAGAGAACAGGGGACTCTGTCAGGGTTTTCCCAGGCTTGCTCTTTGGATTCTGTTTGTCCTTTTTTTCCCTTTTCGTGTTACTATTTTACGCTCCTTTTGTTCTTCAAAGAAGCAAAATAGAAAACCAGACAGTTTTTTGCTTTGTTGGGCAAAACACATTCTTCAGCTCCCTATTTTCACTCTCAATGTGCAGGCACTCTACTGCAGAAACTTCAACCAGTTCCACTCTGGAGGCAAAATGAGCGACTAGTCCTCGTATGGAGCTCGTGCCTCGCACCTCTTCCTCGGCCTTCTGGGTTACTACTCAGCTTTCTGGGTTACTCCATGGGGCTGTAGAAACCCCGTGTCCCCCAGCTGGAGGCTCCAGTTTGGCTTTCCCGTGCTGTACAGGAGCCCGGTGGTGGCTCAGCCCTCTCGCCCGTCGCATTCCTGCATCCCGCCGTGGTCGCAGGTGTTGGCCGCGCCTTCCCTCTCCCCCCACTGTGCTCCTGCTCCTTCACTTGTTCAGCGGGAACATGTGTAATGGGTAGTAATGTGGTAACGGGAGGCTCGATCCAAAAATTCCCCGCAGCTGGCGAGCAGGAACCTGCAACTCCACCCAAGGGTGCAGGGATCAGTCGGACGAAGCCGTTGGAGATGACGGGTCTTTCTGTGGAGGGCCCGGGTCGGGGCAGCCGCGGCGGTGGCGGCACTCCTCACCCCACGCGGGGTTCCCGTTAGGGCCACTGGACGCTGAGCGGCGGCTGTACGGAGGGGGAGAGGTGCCGGCCAGAGAAGCAGCTGCTGAGCGAAATGAGCTCCAGCCGCTGCTCTGGCTTCGCCTTCAGTAATTCACCCCCGATGAGAGCAGGAGGGAGGGAAGGACGGGGCTGGGGGGGCAGCTTCCTTCTCTCTCTGCCCTCTCTGTCGCAGGGGCCGCATCCTGCTCTCAAAGGTGGCACAGGCCAGGAGAGAGCTGAGCTGGTCGTGGCCCGAGTCAGCGTCCTCCCGGCACGCGTCCAACCTGCACCCAGCCTCGCCACCTTCGGTGCCACCGCTATTTCTGTTGGCGAGCGGCAGGCAGAGCCGCCCCACCTGCGAGTGGGGAAAGGCTTTCGATGCCTCCTGGCAGGTTGCGACAGAAGGGTAATTGTAGCTACAAACTTCTCCATGAAGGGAATCATTGTGCTTTTTAAACAGACCATAAAAATCCCCGGCGATGCCGATGTTCGAACAGTTAAACAGCGATTAAAGACGCCAGCGCTACAAGACCTGGGCATGTTATTTCCAGAGAACATGTCAGCAGCTGCTGAATTCCTGCGTTTACTGCGCCGCGCTGGCAGGCTCGGAGGTCTTTACGGAAGCGGTGGCGTTATATTCAGCGTTAACTAGCGAGCCTCGCAGCTCCTGAGCTGCCTCCCAGGAGCCTCTGCTTTTCAGCCCCGTTTCTCGGAGCTGGGTGACGAGGCTGTTCCCGGTGCTTGCGGCGGCGCCGGGACCCGCGGTGCTGGCGCAGGGTGTCGCGGTGCGGCGGGGACACTCACGCCAGGCGGGGCTGGCGCTGGCGGGGTCACGTACAACCCCCCGTAATAACTGCAGTAAGTCCATAGCGGTGCCAGTGTTCCCCTACAGCCCTAAAGACTTCACTGGGATTTTCTTTAATTAGGTTTTCTTTAATTAGGTTCTTACCCAGAAACTACAAGGCGATGGGACAGGGTGGAGGCCGAACCCCTCCGGCTCCTCGCTGGGTGCTGCGGAGCTGCTGTGGCAGCTGGCGACCAGGACTCGTTTCCACCTTTGACTCCGTCCCAGGCTGTAGCACTCGCTCTTCCTTTCGGCCAGCCTCGTCTCTCGGAAGGATTACGGTTTGTGGCAGGGCTCTGTGTACATCCAGTGAGAAAATTCCCTATTTCCATATTTATTCTCGCTCTTGAACCAAAACTGCCCAAAACTTTTCAGGTGGAACACACGAGATTAGGCCAGAACCCAGAAACAGGTCTGGGTTCGCACAATCCCGCTGCCTTTGCGGCCAAAATTTTTCCCGTAAGGATGGATTTTGGCTCCAAGGAAGCACATCAGAGCTGAAGGAGGGGGGCTCCTCAGCAGCTCTGCTCTGACTCGGGGGTGGCAGGGGAGGGGCTGGGGTGCAATTTCTGTTTTGGGGGTTCCCCCGAGCCAGGGCTGCCGGGGCGCAGCCGGAGCATCGAGATCGCGCTGCAGAAATCCCAGCCCACAGACACTGTTCGAGCACTCGTGCATTTATTTGCTTTCAGCTACAGAGGCAAGAGGCTGCGGGTTGCACCCTTGGGGCTCTTGGTGAGCAGAGACGCTGCTGTTTTCCTGCCCAGGGCCCCGCGTTACCCGGTGCCGGGGTCCCACCTGCGCGCCACGAGGCTCAGCACGGCGTCGCAGTCTGTGCGGGCGTCACCGGGCGGGTGCGGCTGGACCTCGCTGAACCTCACGTCAAAGCCCGCGGCCCCCACGGCCTCCTCCACGTCGCTCCTCTCCAGGTAGAGGCAGGAGAAAACCTGGTTGCCAAAGGCGTAGTAGGTCTCCCGGAGGACGGTCAGCAGCACCAAGTGCCCCCCCGGCTTGACGAGAGCCCCGATGTTCCGCAGGGCGCCGCGGAAGGTGGCCAGGTCCTTGCAGGCGCCCTCCAGGCAGAGGGTGGAGAGGAGGCAGTCGGCGGGAGGCAGGGACACGGGCTCTGTGGGGTTGGCTCTGGTCACGTCGCACTTCAGAACCTGCCTCACCTTCTTCCTCACGTTCTCCTCTTTCTCGGCCCACTTCTCCCTAGCGAGGAAATAAATAATTAACCGAAGGCTCGTTACGTGCGTGGCTGCGGGTGGCCGAAGCCGCCCTCACCTGTCCCCCTCCAGCTCACAGACGTATTTCACCACCGGGCTCCAGTCAAAGGCTCCCGCTTCGTTCTTCAGCCACCTCTGCAGCTCCCGGCGGTTCTGGTCCGTGTAGTCCAGGGCCAGGATCTCCTGGAAGCGCTCGCAGGCCGACAGGAGCTGGTAGATGGTGGGGCCGCACCCGACGTCGACCAGGGTCTGGCCGCTCAGCCCCTCTGGTGCGGGGGTCGGGGGAAGCCCCTCGCAGTCAGGACGGAGACGGTGCCCAGGACAGCGGCGTCCTGCGCCGACCCCGACCCCGACACGCCCTCCCAGGTGCCGCGGCCCCCCAGCCC